AACTCCCATCTCGCGACTACGATAGGCAGCAATAAATTAAGCGTTACAACTCTAATAAACTGCACTTCTTCCGAACAAAATCAGAACGATGAAACTGGAAGAAAATAAAAAAATTAAAATAGAAGTAAAACCCCAAAATAATTGTAATGATAATAATAACTGCAAATACACACACAAAGAGCACATCAAAAATATAAATATATGAGCCGGCGTTAAGGGTGTTTATGCGTTGTGTATGTGCGTTTCGGGGTGTCTAAGAAGGATTAATGATGAACCGATGGCAAACAAAAATTCCTCCTCCTCCTCCCTCCCCTAGTCCCTCTCTCTCCTTTCACCTCTTTCTGTCTCTTTTTGCTCTCTGTCTAGCCTTTAACTCTCTTCATCATCCTTTGTTTCTTCATCAAAATCAAATGAGTGACCAACAAAATACACACACAGAATCATTCACCGCCCAACAATGAACCATTCCAATTTTTACAGTTCTTGCGTTGCTCATTTCTGTATAAGTGCCTACCTCTCTGCAATTATTTCCTTCCTTCTTCCCTTTGTTGTCCCGCTTCGTTTCTTTTCTATACTTTTTTTCTGTTACAACTGTATTAGATATACATATATAAGCGGGTGAACGCATACGACCATAATATACAATAATTTTTCTTTTCCCATCATTGCTGCAATTTAGTAATCATCTTCAATAAAAAAAAACTAAAAAGTTTCTTTTTTTTTTTATTAACGTTATTTTATTTAAACCGCGTAAAATCATAAGCGGTAAACGAAAGGTAACCAAAAAATAAAAAAAACATAAGCTTTTAAGCTATGAATGTAGAATAGAACAAAAAAAAAAAAAGAACGGCTCATTTACGCTGTATTGTAACTGTCGCTTGATATTTATTATATAAATATAAAAAATTTTTACAACTTAAAATGATTATTAACCTGTTTCAAAGGAAGTATATCCCGTTTGTTTCATGCCCAAATAATTGCTCCATAAATTCATATGTATCAATCCAAGCTGCAGTAGTTCGAACACTCTTTCTTTTTTTTATTCCTTCTTTTTCCTTCCTTTCTTTCTTTCTTTCTGTCTCTCCTTCCTTACTTCCTTCTTTCCATCCTTCCTCGTCATCATGATCATCATCAGTGTCATCAACAAAATTTTTCCTGCCGGTCATATCTGTAAAAAAAATAAAAATAACAAGCAATACATATAAATGCGCACGCAAAGACTCTGCAAAACATGGACAAATGTAACAACAACACTGTCAGAAGCAGGAAAAAAAAAAAAAAAAA